CGAGGGCGGGGAAACCCGTGCCCGGGGGCACCTGCGCGTGACCGACGCAGCAGATCGGCTGACCCGATGACGTCACCGGCCCTCGCAGAGGCGCCGCAGGAGCGCGACTCCAGATGCACCGCGAGATACAAGTCCAAACTCTGACCACACCACAAGGCTGCGTATGTGAACGCAACCCAATAGCAAAGTCCGTATTAAACACGTGTTTTCGTCCATCCTCTGATAGGTCCAAAGGAGCAACCAGGCACGATGAGAGACAGAGTCGGATTGGTCCACTGGGCAAGAGTCTCCAAGAGTGCAACGGCGGGTGTTGCTTTCTTGCTTGATTGGTGGTTCCGGGCGCGTCAACGGCTAAAGTAGTTTGTTCCGTAAGCGTAGTGTATGCAATTATCGCGAGATGTGGCGATCAGCTTCCCCCATTAAACGGCGAGATCCAGTGCAGGCCTACCCGTCGGCTTGCGGGGTTTTCCCAACTAGGAATCTCCCACCAGCGGGGGCTGCACACCAGCCACGACAAACTCTAAGCTTCCAACTGGTCTCCCGTCATGTGTGGCGCAGTGTTGTCTGTAAGGGGGCGAAGGCAAAACAAGTACGAGGAAGGAATGATCGCGCGCGGTCCGCGGCCCGTTTCTTAGGGTGCTGCTCCGGCATTCGCCCAGCATTGATCTGAAAACCCCTCTGAAAGCTACCGCTGAGAGCAGTCGGCCGCCGGAGGCCTCCTCGAGGCGGGCGTCTGTCGCAAGGTGGGGGACCGCATTGAGATTGTAGGCGCGTGCGGGTGGGCGCTGCGGGCGCCGCCATCGCCGCGGCCGGTGGCGTCAGGCGCCACCGCGGGCGCGCGCGCGCACAGTGGCTGCTTTCAGGGCGCCTCCTCTGCCTCCGCCTCCTCCGCCGCCCCAATTAGGGGCCCGCGCCGCCGCCGCCGCCGCCCGCGTAAGCCCCAGCGCGCCCGCCCGCCCGCGAAACCGGAGCCAGCTTCCGCGCCGCGCGCGTACTTTTCCAAGCGCGACGCGCAAAAAGCAGGAACGCGAGCGGAAAGTTTCTCCGCGCGCCGCCTTCCAAGGGCTCTGCCTCCGCGGCCGCTCGCGCCCATCTCCACCCCACCTCGCTCGCACCTGGCTCACAAATCCCCCTGAATCACAGGAATAAATGTTAACGCAATTACTTAAGAACGCAGTGCTAATAATCACTTGCCATTACTTTCCTTATTGTTCAACGTCCGTGTGTTACATCAGCTATCGAAATCGTTTATTTCAGAAACCCGCCAAACGCAAAATTCCTCATTTCCAGAAAATTGAGAAAAGGTCTCTGAATTTTTCTGATTTCAAAATATTTGTATTAATTAAATCAGTTGATAAATTAATATTTTCATATAAATATGCACTAAACGATGTGTCTATTCTCTTGGAACAAGAATCCGCCGCTAATGCATGTTTTTTTTAGATTTTGGCGTCTGACGGATATCTGAAATAAACCATTTAATTTACGACACTATCCGACCGGGCCTGACTTTGTCGTTGACCCCCACAGATCCCCTCCTTTCTCAACAAAAAAGTATACTGAAACAGTTCATCGCGAATTGTTGCTGTGAGCACACACGAAGTATTGTGCCTACTTCGGCCGTAAACGAAACTTGAAATATCTAACCTAATTTTCCTGTTTTGGAATGTACAAAATAAACTTTCTTCTTCACGTGAGAACTTTAGAGATTTTTTTTTTACATAGAACACTAGAATCAAAGCTCCACATCCCAGTTGGTTGTGGGCAAAGCTCTACACGTTGCAGTGACGGGGCGGAACAATGTTCCTCCGTTCTTCAGATACATGTGCTTGTACAACATAAGTTCCTAACCTAGAACCAAAGCTCCACATCCCAGTTGGTTGTGACCAAAGGTCTACACGTAGCAGTGTTCCGGCCGGAGCAATATTCCTCCGTTCCTCAGATACATGTACTCTTGCAATAATCCCAAACCCTCTATAGAAAGAAGCACAACTACAGAGATCCATCGTCCACGAGAGCGCCGTGCAAAGACGCGGCCCGCGTTGGTCCGCAGTGAGTGCCTACTGCTCTCCCATAGCTCCCGAGCGGCCCGCGGCGCCTCGGATCTCAAGAGCAAGGAAGCAGATCGCAACAAACCTATTTATTTATTTATTTACGTCAAAAACAGTTAAAAAGTGTGTATGACGTGCTATGGGGAGACGTTAATTTGAAGTTACATTTATGTCCAGAAGCAAAACAAGGGGCCATCTCAGCCTTTGCTCGAGGATCAGGGAAACTGGACGAAAACCTGATCGAGATGGGGGTCACTGACCCAGAAGCTGAAGTACAACACTTGTTACAAACCAAACCCCCACGCGCGGTGAATGCGCCGTTGGGTCCACCACTGCACCACCTGCCCTCGAGAAGTGGTGCTACCCCTCACGATATTCGCTACGCTGCGCTTCGGATCGTCGAAATATTCCCAGCGGGTCTTGCGGCGAGCTAATATTTCCCGAAAAATTCAGAAACACCCCGATTTAGAAATGAATTCATTTGTATGGAATCTTTAACCAGGTTGGATGAGGGAGGATTCCGGTGAAATCGTATTTTGTTTATTGCAAGCAATAGGGCGGATAGAAATGAAAATGAAGAAAAAATTCCACTTGCGCATTCCACATACCTGAGAAAAACCCCGCTCCTTACAATCAGACGCCGAAGTGATTCTGCCAGACGGGCAACACACGGGCGTCTTCTTTCGCGAGGAAGCAGCTGGAGGCTCCGAAAGTCAAAGAAGAGTAGCTGGCGATAGCGAAAGGCGAACAAGAGCACCGGGCGCCGCGGAGAACCGCTGCTGAAAGAAACGTATGGAGGAAACTGCTAGTGCACGGCAGCGCGATGGGATGGAAATCTTTCGTGCAAATGTGGGGTTGATCCGCGTTTGCAGCGGCCAGCAATGCCAGAAAATCTTCACAAATATGTGTGCGCGACAGTGGAGTAGCGACTCTTTCTCTGTTCCCTCGCCCTTATTACATTCACTCATTTGAAACACATCGAGAGGCCGGTCGCGGAGAGGCAGCAGGGCTGGGCGGACGAAACACGAGAAGTTGGCCGTGACGGACCGGCAGCGGGCTGTGGCAAATCCAGAGAGGGAGCTAGGGGCCCATGCCCCACCCCCCTGTTAACATTTTTGGTCAATTCACTCAAAATAATTACTATTGTATATTTTTATAAACACACACATTATATAATTCCCAGTTTAAATATGCGTATACATTTGCTGATTTAATGAAAAAAAAAATGAAAAATTAAAAGTATTATTTCAAAACTACGTCATTTCGGGGGAGCGGATTGAAATCCTTCCTGCATCCGTTCAGCATCCTTCCTGCTACCTTCCTGCAGCCGCATCCTCCGCCACCGCCGCCGCCGCCTCCGCCTCCGCCGCCGCCGCCGCCTCCGCCGCCTCCGCCGCCGCGCCGCCGCCCTCCCCGCCCCGCGCCGTCCCCCGCCAAAGATGCAGCCGCCAATCCGCGGCCGCCCGGCGTCTCGGGCGCTGGGCGGAGCGGGGAGAGGCCGCGCTGATATATGAGCAACGGAGGCCTTGGTCTCATAAGATCCGAGCCCTCCGCGCAGCACGCCACCACCTCCGTCGCTCGTGCTCCGCCGCTGTCCGCTCCGCTCCGCCCGCGCTCCGTCGCCCAGACGAGTCCCCGCCGCCCGTGCACCTGTGCTCTCTCCGCGCCGGACAGTCCGCCGCAGTGTGTGTGCGCGCGCCCGTCCCGCCTGTGCTCGTGTGGGTCGCTGTCGCCGTCTCGTCGCCCGTCCTCAGCGTGCGCTCCGCTTGCTCGTCCTTTGCGTCTGTCTCTGTCTGTCTCTCGTCCGGTCGCTTCCATCGCAATGGTGAGTACACGACGCCGACGCTCTTTCACGTCGCGCCGCGAACTAACGGGACCGCGAAGGGGGTCGCGAGCGCCGGAGGAGACGGCTCGCACGTGCGCGGCCACGTGGCGCGCACGTGGCTTCCGGCCGGGGCTCCTGGGCCCTGCCCTGCCCTGCCCTGGCCTGCCCCGAGCCTGGCCCCTCGCCCTGGCCCGCGCGGCCCAGCGCCCGGGCCCGCCCGCGCCGCCCGCGCAGGCCCCTCTCGGACGGCCGCCTAGGCAATACGGTCTCTACATCTCGCTTGTTAACTGACCTGTTTGTAAATAGAATGCACTCTTCGCTCCGATTGTTGCAGCACTCAGAGAAATGTATATTTCGCATTTTTAACTTACATTTTAACTGTATGACGATTCGTGTTCCATTACAAACACCCATTGACTACTTTCTAATAACTGATTCATCTCTCCCTATAAAGGGATACATTGAATCCACGATTCAGGCATTTATTCGATTTAAAAAACATAGATTCATATTATTTTTAAAATGATATGTGTAAATATTATGCAGATTATATGAAAACATAAAAGAAATCCGTTCAGGAGCACAATTACTATATAGCATCTAGATCTCTCTTGATTCTTAAAAGGGTTCTTAGTGAGAATTACGAATTATTGGGGGATACGTGATTTCACGTCACGAAAAAGAGAAAACACTCAGTAACTACCTTGACAGTTCCATTGCGATTTTTTTACAGAAGTCATATTTCTTATTTATTCCTGGCTGTGATAATGCTTCCTGCAATTCAGTTACATATAATGACTAAAATTAAATAATCAAGATTAATGCGCGGATACATGTGATTCTAGTGAATCAACTGAGCTGCTGTAGAGAGGCTGTATAGCAATAAAAGAGCCGTAAAATTTCATCACATCTTTACACTGAGGAGTTCGCGAAGCCGGTTCATTTCAACATAAATTTTTTTTTTTTCCAATTTTTAATACTTGGCAAGTAGACAAACAATTTTCCGCATAATCAGAATTCATCATAACAAATTGTATTGGGCGCTGCGCGATTTAATTTTAAAACAGGAATGACAAAAGTCTATACAAGCAAGATTAGTTTAATCATAGTAAAATAATTCATCTGACATTCAAGGGGCATAAAATTTTTCTCCTCCATGCAAATATAAAAAGCTTCTGTCTCGCAAGACAAGTTTGAAATTATGTAACTACTTGCATTTCTGCAACGTCATCTAATAAAATAGTGCAAAACTGACCGAACTAGACAGCGATTTCAGGGTTGGTCTTCACAATTCAGGGGATATAACCACGGATTTTACATATTGAATTAAAGATATATCTTTCAGTATAAAATGCTCATACTCGTAATTATGAGTATTTTGAGTAATTATGAGTACAAGTTGATTCGTTGAGTATTACATCAAATAACTGCACTTATGCCACATCTTCTCATCACCCCACTCTAATAATGTTGCTTTCAATGCCACACATATATTTCCATTTCCAATATTCAATTCCAATATTTCAATGCCATATATATTTCCATTACAAATTCTACTTCCTAGAATTTATTTATTTATTTATGTCAAAAACAGTTAAAATTGTTTTAACATAAGATTACTGATGCAATATAAACATACAACTCATGCTAGTATTCATGTTCGTAGAAATGATGATTCTGTCGTTGAGTGTCTTATCGTTAGGTGTGGACTAAAAAGAACGCCCACTATATTGCACTCAAATATTTATTGTTATCGCGTGGCTTTTGCAGATCGTAAGAATTTCGTATTTCTGACTAAAAGTTGCTACAATCTCCCTAGAATAGCGTCCCTCTGCTGCAAAAAAATACGTCTCAGAGAAAAGACACCGCATTAATTAGAAGCCCTGTTAGAAAAAGAATGAAAATATTCATTATTGCAGAATTGGGGTAAGAACAAAATTTATTCTTTCCCTTTTCGTACATTAGGCATCTGAAAATGTGGCTCTGAGCGCCGTTTCCCAACAGAGAACAGCTTAAACAGTACGAAACAACATCTCGCAGACCGTTTACTGCTCACATTATTCTCCCCACATCTAAACCACGTCGGCTTTTACCGAGATGGTAACAAACGACGCGATGTCGACAACAATGATTAAGGGGCGTTATGTGGGTCTGGTGGAAGGAGAACCAGAAGCGGGTCCACGTGGATTGCGCGGGATTCGAAGTCGGGGCGAGCGGGGGTGCGCGGCGAACGCCACGACGACGGCCGTTGCTCTGCCGCCGCCGCCTCCGCCGCGGCCGCGAGGCCGCCTCCGCATCGCCGCGGCACCGTCAATTAGCCCCTGTTGAGGAGATGCCCTAACCTTGTTGAATACTAAGTGTCCATCACGGCAGGCCGGGCGGCCAGAGGCCGGCGGGGTGAGCCGCGCCTCGCCGCGCCGCTCCGGCCAGCGGCATAGCGCCTCT